GTAGTCTCATTCTTCCCACCTATCACTGTGATGTTCTGGAGACAATGCCATACTTCTGTGGCTCCCACAGTACTTACTTAGCCTTGGGTTAGGCATAAAATGGGTGCTATATATAGAAATCCTGAGGGCAAAGATAAGTAATCAATATAACTGAGGGGTTGAATAAAAATAATGGCTAACACTCAAATATATGCTAGGCACTGATATAAGAGCTTTACATGCATTAACTCATCTAAATCTCACAATAATCCTACAAGATGGTGACTATGATAATCCCCACTTTCCAGATGAGGAAACTGAGTCACAAAGCTAATAAATGGCAGACCTGGATTCAAACCCAGGTAGTCTGAATCCAGAATCTCTACTCTTAACCACTTTGTTGTATTACCACCAATGAGATGGGGAGAGGGACGTGTTGCTGCAACGAGGATGGAGCAAAACTGGGAGAAGAGAAGACATTAAGAAACTAAATAATGGAGAAACTAAAAAATAGAGAAGGAAAAAGAATAAGGGCAATTATAAGTAAAAGACTGCAGAAAGAATGGTAGTAAGAAGGCAAATGAAGATAAGAAATTGCTTATAAGACAAACAAAAGGTAAAAATAGTCAGTCAACATGAGCTGGGGAGATGAGGAAGACCCAGGAAGACCCCAAAGTCTGCCAGGTCAGGCAGGATGCAGAGAACAAACGAGGAAAAGCAGTTCTTACAGGACAGTGAAGGTGCCGTTGTAGCTGTCGGGCTCTGGCACAGGCACTCTGTGGAGCCTCTCCTTTGGGCTGAGACCAACGCAGGACAAGGTCTCATCACTGCAGGTGCAGAGCTGACAGATTGGTTCACGCTTGTGGGAGTGCTCTGTTCCGGTTGCTCCTTTTCTGAGGTGTATGTTACAGACTGTACCACTGAAGGCTCAGTCGAAGCAGGTGTCTTCAGTGACCCTGGGTGCCGAGTTGTGGTAAATTCCTGGTCTATACGTGGAACTGTGACTCGAGTCAGGTCTGGGTGTGCAAATGCCACCCTCAGGAGAAGGAGCTGTAGTCTTCCGGAGGACTGTAGAATGTTGAGCCTCCATAGCAGGTTCTGAAGTCACGGTTAGCTCCAGGTCTACATGATGAGGTGTGACACTGGATGGTGTTGTGTGCTGACCATGAACCTTACTTGGAGTTGGAATGGTCACCTCCTGATGGGGTGGATATTGAACGACAATCTCCTTTGCTCGCTCTGGAGGCTGAGTTGAGGTCTCTTGCTTGGTCGGAGAAGGTTCAACATCCACACTGGATGCTCCGGTTACAGTAACTTCCAGGTCCACAGTGTGAACTGTGACTGGAGTGATGCTTGAAGGGGCGCGTGTCACCTCAGGGTGTTCTGGAGGGGAAGATGTGGAATGTTCAGCTTCTGTAGTAGGTTCTGAAGTCATGGTAAGCTCCAGATCCAAAGGTTTATCTATGACACTAGATGACATTAGATGTTCAAGGTGATCCTGGTCTGGTGTGGGAACTGTCACCTCCTGATACAATGAAGGCTGATGGGGCTCTGGAGGCCAAGTTGGGGTCCCCTGCGTGGTAGGAGAAGGTCGAGCCTCTGTATTAGGTTCTGGGCTTAGTGTAAGTTCCAGATCCAGAGGATGAACTCAGTCATGGCTGGATGCTGAGCCAGCACCTGCTCTGCCTGTGGAGGTGTCACCTCCGTGTATGTTGGATGAGATGTCTGCTGCAGGGATGCAGAGTGTCCAGCCGCTGTAAGAGGCCCTGGAGTCACGGTAAGCCCCAGGTCCAAAGGTTTATCAGTGACACTGGGGGAGCTGGAATGCTGAGCTTGATTCTGTCCTGGTGTTCCAACTGTCATCTCAACCTCCTTAGGTGGCTCTGGAGGCTAAGCCGGGGCCTCCTCCTGGACCGAAGAAAGCCCCACCCCCTCAGGGGGACCTGCAGTCTGAGCTGTGGCCTCTTGTTGGCCTGGAAAAGAGTCAATCTTCCCAGGGGGCTCTGGAGATGGAGACAGAGGCTTGGACTAGATTGGAGAAAATTCAGCCTGCTCAGGGGAAATGGGAAAATGAGCAGAGCCCTCCTGCTGCTCTGGAGAACTTTCAGTCTCCTTAGCAGGCTCTGGAGTGATGACAACTGCCAGATCCAGGGGTTTACCCTGTGGTACTAGGCATCACTGGATGCTGAGCTTCACCTGGACCTGCAGGTGAGAACGTAACCTCGTTATGGATTGGAGGCTGACCTGTGGCAGCTGTAGAGGTCTCTGGAGGGTGAGTTGGGGGCTCAAGCTGGACTGGAAAAGGTTCATTTCCCGAGGGGGCTGGAGGCTGATCCAGAGTCTCCTGCTGGACCAATAATGGTTCCAACTGCGCAGGGGACCCTGCAGACTGAGCTGAGGCCTCTTGTTGGGACGGAGAAGGTTCAGCTTCACTTGTGGGCCCTGGAGTTATGGTGAGTGCAAGGTCCACAGGTTTCACAGTGACACTGGGCTGCTGCAGAGACTGAGCTTGATCCTGGCCTGGAGAAGAAGCTGCTGTCATATCAGGCTCTTGAGAATGAGCTGGCGAGGGTTCGGCCTCAGCAGGAGAATCTGGACGCTGACCTGTGCGTTCCTGCTGGGTTGTGGAAGGCTCTATCTCTGCTGGAGACTGAGCTGGGCTCTCCTGCTGGGTGGCTGGTTTCACCACCTCAGGATGCTCTGTGGGCTGAGCTGGGCTCTCCTGCTGGGTTGAAAAGGGTACAACTTCCCCATTAGGCTCATAAGGCTGAGCCAGTTGTCCCTCTCCACCTAGAGAAGGCTCAGCTTCCTCAGGAGGCTCTGGAGGCAGACCTGTGGCATCCTGCAGGGTTGGAGAAGGTTATGCCTCCACAGAATACTCAAGAGGCTGAGGCAGGGCCTCCTGCTGGGCTGTGGTAAACTCGCCTTCCCTAGTAGGCTGTGGAGTGACCGTAAGTTCCAAATCCACCGGTTTAAGTCTAACACTGGATGCGTTGGAGTGAGCTGGATACTTACTTCCAGGTCGAGCTGCTGCCTCATCACTCACTGGAAACTGAGGCACATTCTCACCAGGGAACCCTGGAACTTGTGCTGGGGCCTCTTGCTGGAGTGGGGCAGAGTCATACTCAGGGCACTCTGCAGGCTGAGCCTGGGCCTCCTGAGGGAATGGAGGAGGTTCCACCACCTCAGGATGCTCTGCAGGCTGAGCCTGGGCCTCCGTCTCAAGTGAAGGTTCCACCTCCTCGGGGCTCTTTGGAGGCTGAGATGGAGCTCCCTCCTGGACTGGAGAAGGTTCCACCTCCTCAGGGCTCTCTGGAGGCTGAGATGGGGCCTCCTGCAGAACTGGAGAAGTTTCAACATTAGTGACCTCTAGAGTTACAGTAAGTGCCAGATCCACAGGGTTAACCGTGACACTGTGCAAGTCTGACTGGTGAGCTCCATTCTCATTGGGACCATTTACCCCATGAGGCCTTAACTGTTCAGCTAAAACCTCCTGAAGCCCTCCCTCCCCCCGAGGGACAGCAGCGCCTACTTCCTCAGGGGCCTCTGAAGGCTGGGACAGAGCCCCCTGCTGAAGTGGAGGTGGTTCTGTCTCTTCAGTGGCCTTTGGACGCTGAGCCTGGGCCTCTGCCTGGGGCGGAAAAGATTCAACCTTCTCAGGGGTCTGTGGATTTTGAGCAGGAGCCGCCTGCTGGGGTGGAGACAACCTCCTGAGGGGGCTCTGGACGCTGAGCCTGGGCCTCCTGCAGGGATGAGGACATTTCAGCCTCCTCAGGGGGCTCTGGAGGCTGATCTGGGCTTCCCAGGAGATCCAAAGGTAGATCTATGTCTACAGCTTTGACCTTATTACCTTTAGGTCGAGACAGAGCTGGGGCCTGATTCTGATCCCAGCATAGCACTGGAACCTCCTCTGGGAGCTTTTGATGCTGGGTTAGCTTGTCATTCTCACCTTGACATGGAACAGCAACATCTTGATATGGCCCTGCAGGCAGCTCTCCATTTGACTCCATGTCCGGGTACAGAAGCAAAGTCTCAGACTCCTGTGTGAAAGAATTAAAGTCCCCTGATTGTGAGTTGGGGGTCTGCTGGACAGAGCCCAGGGACCACCCCAGGGGCCATCCCTGGACCAGAAGCCAGAGTGGTTGCCAAGCAAAGAGCTGCAGCAACCAAAAATACTGGCGAAGCATAATCCAAAAACGATTCAGGCACAGCGAC